AAAGTTTGCATATAATTATAAAGAATTAACATAAATTAAAAATAACAAACGGCAAGCCCAATTGGATCATTCTCAATGTTATAATTATAAAGTCACAAGTATATATATATATATATATATATATATATATATATATATATATATCGGAATTCTGTTACACATGTCGCACTATTTCGATCACGTAAATAATTAACCGAGAGTTAATTTGCTTTGTGTGTAGATTATTCGACGTGATGGTTTGCCGATATGTCCAATAGCAAACAAACTGTTCGGAATACAACTATGAAAGCCAACGGTTGTTGGTGGATATAGGTAATTACTGCAATCCATTTGAAATTTCTCCTCCAAAATGATACTGAGACAAATACGTAGCAGTATGTGTAAAGATGTAATATTTGTACAATTTTGATTTTATAAATTGAAAAGCAAAAATTAAATAAATGTATTTATTAAAAATTTTTTTTCAAGATAAAAAAATGCAATGTGACATGCAATACAAAAGTTTCTTTTGATGAAAAAGAGAGAAATATCAATTTTTTAAATATTATTCTTTAAAGTTATATAGAAGTTGATAGAAAAGTAGAAAAGTAATATTTCGCTTATTTTTTGTAAAATTTAATACTCCCTTTATTTTTCTCCAATTTGTAAAATTTAAGTTTCTATAAATTATTTTTACAAATATTATATCATGAAAAAAATAGATTTGTCCTGTTAATTTAATTTAAGATTTTAATTATGACAACTGATTTAGTATAAAAGTTTTTTATTTTTATTTTCTAAAATATTTTCAATTTTATTTTCTGAAATATTTTAAAATTAATTAAAAATAAGAAAGTGTACGAAAGAAATTACAAAATACAAAAAAGACCAATTATTTTAACTATTTCGAATTATTCGATACTCACTACTTAATTCTGCTTATTAAAGTCAATGACAAATTAGCGCATTGCATTGTAATTACGGTTTCATTACGATTTGTAAACGTGGAATCGATAACATGAATGACCACAATAAATGTGATGTAAAGTACCTACTCGGAGATAATACATCGCTAAAGACCCTCGATATCGATAATGTTATATTTTCTTTCATCTATAATATCGTATAACAAAGGATTCTCGATCACAAACTACTAACATTATACGTATATTTTCTTTCTTCGATAATTACCCGCTATTCTTTTGATCTTTCTCGTTATCCTCATAACTAACGCATTTGTGTTTGCAAAAGCACAGAGTAAATGGACAAAAGAATAAATCCTTTTTCTCACGGTAAAAAGTAATGACACTTTAAGTTTAAATATTTATATCCGTTTGTCGTAGTTAAAAATTAGAATAACTGAGATAAATACTCTTTTAACAATTTTAATAGGAATATTTATGAATTAATAATTTTTCGCAAGACTGTGTAGGTTGTAAATAGTGAACATGTCATCATGGAAATTCACATATGAAATATTTCTCAGCGTTATAAACAACAATCTCTGCGTAAATTACTAAAATATTCATAAATGCAACATTTTTTGCTTTCTATCATATAAATTCAAGTTGTTAATCTGCTGTCTTAAATTTTAATTTTTTATAAACGACCATATATAAACGGGTAATAATTCTCAGCCTCCTTTTTTCCCATTTGTTATTGCGAATCGATAGAATTTCGTGCCGCGAGGCGTTTCAATTTAATGTTGTTCAGTTAAATCGCTCGTGCTCTGGCGACTTTACAAACATGAAGTCCGCGGGCTGATTATTTGCTGTTACACGTAGCGCACGGATGGTACATACATGAATACAAGCAACCTACGCGTCGTGCTGTTAACGCGTTGTTAATAGAATGTAAACCGATTTTGCTGCGACCAGATCTCTCACAGCTTTTATCTATCTTTCCCAGCTTTTGAGCGAATTTATAATGACACCGGGTTTCCATTGTATGAGTAAATGTGATTATGATATAATATTATATATTATTATTACATTATAATAGATTGCCAGTGCTAGATTGTCATGATAATTAGTCATTGAAAATGATATATTAAATTAGAACGAGATTGTAGAAAAATATATATTACAAATGTATTTAATATTATATTGTTTTTTAATTGCAAATGAATACCGCGCACGTATTAATTTTTTTACAATATCTCATTATTGCATGGTTTTTGAATTTTCTTTATAAAAAAATTATTGTAATTTTAATATTTTCTAAATTAGCAAATGTTGAATTTAATAATATATTAAATTTCGTTAAATAATATAAATTTAATTAAACATTAAATATTAAATGTTAAATTTCAATACAGAAATATGTTTGAATTAAAAAGGAGAATATTGTATATATTTTAATAAAATAAGTAATTTAAGTAAATAATTTTTTATTAAAGAATTATTTAAAAAAATTTTTTAAATTATAATTGTAGTTTTTGTCTTTCAATTTTAAATGCTCATTTCGGCAATACGTTAAGCAATTACCATAATACGAAATATCGAGCCACAGATTGGCGGTTTATGTTCAACGTGATGTTAGCATGGTAATCAAAATCATAGTTTATGCTCAAACGATCGCACATTGATAAATCATTCGATGCCAATCCAAGCATTTCGCATCAATAATTTAGGAACCATGAATGTTGAGCAAATTGATATACGGACATCCTAGCGGAAACAGATACTTCTTGCAAGTCAAACACCAATATTCTTCACATAATGCCAAAAAAATTCAACATGTGCAGAACACTAAAAATGAATGCATTTATTTATTGTTTTTGACAATCTTATATTAAACTCTTGTCACTGATACTTGTACTCAAGAAATACCATTTTTAAAAATGATTTTATATCTATGTTTTATACAATATTTGTACATTAAATGTCTTTTCTATCAATATCCTTTAAAAGCTTTCAGAAATCAATTTAATTTATATCCTTTTCTATGAAAGAAATTGCATAATAACTAATAATCACAAATATTCCAGAGATACATTCTTAAGATAAAAAAAATAGAATTAAACATAATCATTAATTTATGCACGTTATATCGAGATACAATAAATTTGAGCATGATTACAAATATAAAGTAGATTAAGATTGCACGATTTCCATAGAAGTTTATATTTTGATGAGATATAATCAAAATTGCTAAGGATTATATTTATAAATATGCATGCATTCATATATGCATACGAGTGGTAAGAACATTCGTATCGAGCTTTAAATGCTAATAGATGAAAAGCGTGCGGGTTTATACCAAACGTCGGAAGTTCGCATGCAAGAGGGACACCCGCGTTGCGTAAGTCTCTATTAAGTCGAGAAACTTAGACATCCCAACTCTATTTAGAAAGTAAACTTTTTACTTACTCCTCCACCCCTCTCAAACGAGGGCAATTTAGCCTCACTTACGCATATTATAGGAGACTAAAATTGCATGAAGTTCAAAGCGCACGATCCTAATGTATTCGGTTATCCAAAAGCAAAGTCTCAAAGTTTCCGAATAGCTTTTGGCTTTCCGCGAGAAGTCGTAATTTATATTCCCTAATACTTTTCACAGAGGAAACAATTATTATATGACTATCGATTTGATTAAAAAAATGTGCAAATTTAATTAATATTTGTTAAAGATAATAATTCGTTTTTATTTACATATATTTTGATATAATTCATATAGTTTAATCCAAGGCGTGATCAGAATATGTTTTCATAAAAGTTGATATAATACTATTTGTATTAATATTTATTTATATTAATACCAAATTAATTTGATATCGAATTAGTAATGATACAATTTTTTTTTAATGATTGCAAACCAAAAAATATAAATTAATATTAACATAACAGCATCCTGACATCAAATAAAATTAAATTTTATGCAATTTTAACTATTTTGCGATTTTCATTAAGATGTAATTTTAAATAAGATATAATATATGTATATGCGCTTTCAAACTAAATTTGTAAATTAAATAAATTTATAAAGAGTGAAATATGTAGTGTTCATTAAGTACCATCAATTCGTTTTAGTAATTAACAATTTTGCTAATAAACATGCCACAAAATCAATACATTATATATTAGAAAACAATATGTTTTGAAATTATGCAAACAATCATGTCATGTTGGATAAAAGAAAAGGACCATAAAGAGGAAACTTAAAAAGCACCGAACCTTAATCGCAGAAATCACGTAAACCCTGGTCCATCAGGGTTGATACCCTTCCGGCGTGGTGTTGTTCTCTCGGGTGCGCGATCGCTTCACTGTCAGACAGAAAGAAAAGAGACGCAAGAACGCTAGGCCACCCCGTTAGCAAGCTTTGCCGCTAATCTTAACTAAAGTTAAGTTATTGGAGCGTGCCCAAGTTGTTAGAAATAATCTTTGAATCTACCTCGTAGATCATTAAACATGAAGGTAAAATAAGACCATCACCGTAGATTCCGTGATTTGATTAGAGAAGGATAATTGAACAAAGAATGGATCGGGACAAGATGAAGAAGGAAAGCAGGATAGACTCTCCACCCCTAAGAAATATCTTTGAAAAGTTAGGCCGAACATGCTATCGTAGCGATAAGTGATATCTCTTTACAGTTACTTTTTAATTTATCTCAAATTTTATACACGCACTTTTGAATTTACTATATTACGTGACAGATTGCATTTTACAAAATACAGTATTTTGGTAATCTTACTAATTTATTAAGATTCCTTCAAAATTTTAACAACAATAAAGAATTTTTAAATATTAATTATAAATCTAAAACTATAAAGATGAATCTCTGTAAAAAGTAAGAATTGAAAATTTATATTTTCCGTATACAAATAAATGTTATATATGAAACAGTTCAATAAGATCAATATTCATATTTAATATTAATATTATAATTATGAGATAAATAATTTTCTCATTTACGTTAATTATTTTTTAAAAACATATATGTTTATGAAATCATTATTGAAATCGTTTTTTATTCAAATTTTAAATCACCGTCAAACTTTTTGTATTATATACTTTTAAATGTAATAGAGATTAATCTGTAATTCTTCATAATTTTTTAGTTTTGTTAAAAAGTACGTAATGCAATACATTCTTATTATAAATTATTTAATGAATAATAGTATTATATAAATATATAAAAAATTCGAAATTCTAGTACAGAAAATTATTTATATTTATAGTGAAGTATAAATCGCTTAAAGCTAAATACACCGTTTTCCTCTGAATAATAGTGGAACAGGGTTACGTGCTCGACGCGCTCGGACGCGTACTGAACCGGCTTATCATAAGTATCGCGAGAGGAAAGATTGGCCAAGCCACTCGTGATCGGATTATGGCGAGATTTACGCGCTATCGGTCCAGTAAAGGATTATTTCAACTTCCTGCTGAGATCGATCACTGGCCCGGCAAAATAGAAACGGAAAAACGCCACAATTTACTCACATTATGCATTACATTCTATCTCGATATCAGGCTGCTGCATTTTCCGTTACCAGATTTCCAATTATGTTCGCATACATTCTGTTCTAATCACTGTATTTTCTGGCAAAATTTTTTTTACGTTTGGTAAGAATTACATCGAAATTTTGCGCATTATTTCTTCACTTTGTACAACGTTTCGTGAGATTCATATTAAACTTTAAAAACGTTTTCTTTAGAAGACTTTTTTCAACGATAATTTTATTTTTTCTCGGTAAAATTTTAATCAAATGTCTATAATATTGAAAATTAAAGAATTTTAGCTTATTAATTTCTGAATAGATAACAAATTTTATAAAACTTTTTAAGTTTTCCATATAAATTT